CTCTTATTTACAATTACTAGAAAGATTTAAAATTGTATGATTTTGTACATTATAAGACTGTAAAATTTATTTCTTTTATTTATTTATGTATTCAGAAAATTTATGTGGCCACCCAGTTCACAATGACTCTGGCTGGCTTACAGGAATAGACTTGTATATGAATGATGAACATGTAATTGCTTAAATGTATAAACCATTATTGAAACTTGAAACAGAAAAAGAACAAGTAAAAGAACATATGATAAAGTGGGCTAAAAATTTTGGTTACAATATAAAGGTAGTCCTAGACTTATGATTGGTCACTTAATGGCCATTCAAAGTTATAGCAGAACCCCCAGAAGTTCCTTACAACTCAGTCCCAAAGTTACAGCCATCCCTACAACCAACTGCAGGGATGCTGCAGCACCCACACACAACTCCATTCCCCCCCCCCACCATCACCAGATCAGGGCCCTGCAAGCATTCCCAGTCCCCAATGGTTCCCCACTTAGCCTTAAGTCTGATTCCCACCCCAATATTCCCCATACACTGCTCCTCATTTATCCTTTAAAGACCTTTGAAGCCTTCTATAGTGCTGGAACACTTGGTCACTCGGCGTCATGGCACAATTCCAGAAATGGTGGGAAATGGCATCCACTTCTGGGTCACCACCATGTGGCCCAAGGACAGACTGTTACATTTTTGTGCCTTAACACAGTTTTCAGAGCACTGGAGAAGGTTGCTGCAGTTTTCAGATGTTTGCTGCTACACTGTGCAATTTCATTAAGGCAGCAAAATGAGACCATTTTTCCCTGGGCCACGTGGTGTAATTCAGGAAGTGGCAAAGGTACCAGAATGCAATTTGGGCACGGGAAACAGTTGCCTTGCCAAATAGCATCCCTAATAATTTTTGTCCCATTCATTTTATTTCTGAAAATCCTGTGAACTAGGGAAGACCTGTTTTTGTATAGATCAAAAATATTCATACTGCTGTAATAGATATTTTCCTTTCTCAAACCTTATGAGAAAAAGGAGCTTTCAGTATCATCACTAGATTACCGGGATTCTGTACAAGAAGCTCTTGCTGGTTAAATTGATATACAGTATAACCACTAGAAGCATGCAGTTACTGATTATTACTAAACTGCAGTGTCAAACCATTTTTTTGAGTTCTTTGAGAAAATACTCTAGTGCATTTGTGCAGACATTTTATCCCTTGGTGTTACTGAGGCTGTGCATGCTTGAAAAATGACTCAGAACAACTGCTTTGAACCTCAAATAGCCACCGTAGAGCTCTGCTATTCATTACAAGTTTTCCCAAAATGTGGAGGGAAAAAAAATGATATTGCTTTAAGAGTCACATTAACTTTGATGAGTGGATTCCTGAAAGCAGCAGGAACCTTTATTCAGACTCCTGCAAAAGCCTGAAATAAGTCAATCTATTTTAGAAGAGAGATGCTATGTTCATACTCATGGCATGAACCAAAATACAACTCCCAAATCATTTCCAAAGTATGCACAACATTAGTTTGTACATCTGGATCTAATGGAATATTGTTATAACCCCACCTTTAATTGGTTCACATTGAAGAACAATGTCCATAGCAACAGTGTGGGACTGACACAGTCAATAAATGTAGTAAATTAAATGAACAAACAGCTTCTAGAACAGTGGTTCTCAACCTTTTTAATGCTGCAACCCCCAACCGGTCGTAAGTCGAGGACTACCCAACCGGTCGAAAGTTGAGGACTACCCAAACGGTCGTAAGTCAAGGACTTTCCCTGCCCGAGAGCACCGCACATGCGTGGTGCTGCCCCCTGCACCGGCTGAGGCGGTGGCAAGCGGCAGAGATGGCGCAGGCCGAGGCACTGGCAAGCGGCAGAGATGGTGCAGGCCGACCACCGGCTGGGCCATCAGCTGGCCCAGCCCAAGGGAGGTAAGGCACCTGCTGGGCCCCATGCTCACCAGCAACCCTCCCTGCGCCCACTGGCCTCCCACCTCCCACCCCTGGCCCTCTTTTACTTACATTTTTAGTAATTGCTCAGCAAGGAGGGGTGGAAGCTTCCAGACAGCTCGCCTTCGCTGCAGACAACTTGCAGCACCGTTTGCAGAATGGGACTTTTGGCGGGCTCAGCAGGGCAGAGACAGCCTGGACAATTCCTATTGGCTTTTGAAAGCCAATAGAATTAGACTCTATGAAAGAGAGTCTATTCTATTGGCTTTCAAAAGCCAATAGAATAAAAGGGAGTAGCACAGCTAAGGAAAAGGGGGGGGGATGGTGGACTGCATTGTTTGGCACCCCTGTGAAATGGTCGTTTGACCCCAAATGGGGTCCCAACCCACAGGTTGAGAACCACTGTTCTAGAAGGATAAAATCAAGACATACCAGAGATCAACAAACAGGAAAGATTTGGCACAGTTGCAATATAAAGCAAATATGTCAAACTTGTGATGTCGTATTGGCACTGTTTGCCATAGCCGGCAATGGGGTGGGCGCGGCTTCCATGTGACGCATCTGGCCCGCCAGCTGGCAGTTTGACACCCCTGATATAAAGTCTCCCCTCCACTATTGTCTACTGTTGTTGAGAACATTTTAGTGTTTTTGACATTAGTTATCTTAATTATTCTTGTGCAAATTCTATAGAGTACAATCAGTACACCCACATTGCAGATCAAGATTCCAAAGTGACAAAGTAGAACTTGCCTTATGCCATCTGGTGAGCTGATAGCCAGAATTTTCCACCAGCATTCACATTGCTGAAGATGTGTTTGAATCATGCCATTTCAGAATCAGATAATTTGCAGCTTCTCAGCCAACAATACATCAGCAATGTTGCCAACAATAAATCAGTGGATGGATGGATGGATGGATGGATGGATGGATGGATGGATATATGGAGGGATATATGGAGGGATATATGGAGGGATACATGGATGGATGGATGCTAATATTTTCTGATCTTAAAAAACTGTAGGCAACTGGCCATCCAGTTTGGATCTAGTGTGAAACATGATTTTTTTCTAAATAATTAAATTATTTTTTTTTAAACTATGGAGGCTTCAGTCTGATAGGGATGGGAGTTCCCCCTGGAGATGGCCGTTTCAAATACATGAGGTCAATATCATTTTCAGCACTGGCTCTTTTACACCTAGAGAATGGAGAATCGTCTATCCTATTATTGGACAACACTGTGCTGGCCTGGATTCCTGCTTGCAGAAAGGTGTTCTTCATTTCATCAATCACTGTACAGTTAAGTAAGAAGCAGTCAATTGCATTATGTCTCCAGTGAAATGTCTTAATGTTTACCAGACTGTTTCCATGCTGTTGATAGTAAGAGTGCAATTCATTGTGGGAAATTAGTGGTGTTGTTAAAGGTTGAAAGGAATGAAGTGTTTCTTCTTTAGGTTCTTTTCACGCTTTTCCTTTTAAAATAAAGTTGCTTCTTTTAGGTTGTTATTAGATCTACTGTATACTAAGCAGATTGGCCTGCCCTAACAAGATGACCTAGTTCAGCCTGAATTTCCATCACTCAGAAAAGATTTCACCATATGATCTGTTGGAACTTCCAAAGGAGCGAGGCAGAGCAACTCAGCTGCTTCCCTTCACTCATAGAAGCAGGAGTCTGTTGGTTCATAAAGCAGCTTTGAAGGAGAACCTTGTTAAGCTACTTTAAAACAAAGCACAGCCTTCAAAAATTGGCCCAGGCATGATATGATTCTTTTTAGAATCACAAGCTGCTCCCAAAACAATATAGGTTGATTAACCATCTCATTTCTCCAGAAGTTGAAGTGCATAAGTAGAGTTTTAAAAATTAATGTTCACATGAAACCAGATTTTTTTTCTTATGTAGAGTCAAATGAAAGAAGCTGGGTTGTTGTTTTTATACAGCAAATGCTAAGTGCAGTGAGCCTATTATATGCAGAAAGGTGGAAGAATATAGAGGTGCCTATCCTGGAGGGATGGATTGTGAAGGTGGCAGCACTTGCAAAAATGGCTGTCATTTTGATTTGTTTGATTAGGGAGGGAGCAACTTTTATAAAACACTGGAAACCCTTTATGGACCTTTATGGACCTTTCATACTTAACAACATAAATTTGGGCCTCGGTTATGGTCGTAGGCTGAGGACTATCTGTACTGTGTTTGTTAATTGCTGCAAAGAAACTTGGAAGTAGGTCCTTTAGATTTCCTTTTTTCTTTTTCTTTTGGTTATCTTTCTCTTTCTCTTTTATTCTTTCATATTTCTTTCTTTTTGCTACTTTTCTTTTTATGTTTCTGTTATGTTTATATTAAAAATAGAAATGCATAAATCTCCAAATTTCACAACACTTTTAATTAGTCATGTTATTTTTTTCTAAAAGTTTTCAAGTTTATGACTTAAAATGAGGTGGAATGAATTTACTATCCTTCCAGCCACAACCTTACAGCTCATTGGGTGATTATTGGAAAGGGGGGGGGGAATAAAAATGTTGTTTTGAGATGAGAGTGATCGAAATATAGCATCCGGTGTTCAAATGGAGTCATGGAAATATTGGTCAATAAATAAAAGTCCCCCTGACCACATGCCAGATGAGTTCAGGGGCAGATGGATTTGTCAGAAGTATGAAGGCATTTCCTCCAAATGTGCAAATGTGTGCCTCAAACTTTGATGTGAACATGTTTAGCAAGGCGAGTATGCTTTGTTCCTTTGGTTTCACATGGTTTCCATATCAGTGGTGATTGCTTGCATTTTTAAAATAAAATATTAGGCTTTCTCTGATATATGTGCCAGTACATCCAAACAGAACTTTCTTCTTGAATCTTCAAGAACAAAATAAAACAAAAAAACTAACCAGTGAGTTGAATTCAACTTCAAATTCTGAAAATAAGTAATTCCTCTCTCCAGCTCCCTTCCTTGTTTTGTAATCTTCACTTTTATATTATCGCTAGGTTTTGTTTTTAAATTGTAGTACATAGATGGCTTAATATTAGCTCCTTTCTTGCACACACACACACACACATACACACACTGAAAATGGCACTTTGTTACAAAAAGACTGCAAATTTATTGAACAGTATTGCTGACAAGAATATTATCAATATAACATTAATATATCACATTATTCCTGAAAGCTTTTAAAAAGCCTGCACATGAAATGAAATGTACATAAAATCATTGTTTCTACAGATAGAATCAAGTAGAAATAATGTTAAGTAGTTCAAAATTCTTCTTCTTTCCCTTTAAAGTAATTAATAGTTTCTTTTTTAAAACCTTTCCTGAATTGTGACTCTGTGCATATGGTCTACACACACATATACATCTGGGCATATAATCCCTTTCAGTGATTGGCTCAAGTGTCCTAATGTCTCATTGGGCAAAAAATCCTCTGGCCCTGTTTGCTAAATTGGTCAGCTCCTAGAAGGCATCCCGTCCTTCCTTCCTTAATCTGGTTGCAAACTCTAATGGGTTCTAAATATGAAAATTAATTATTTGGACCGAACAAAGAATTGGACTGGCAGCCAATTCTGTTGGCAAACTTCTGTTACCGAGTTGGAATAAAACTGGGATACTCACTGTAGCATCATGATCCCATTAAGGCTTTCCACTAATAGGATACACAGTGAATCTTTTCCCAGTCCCCATTCTTCCCCATTTTGCCATCTCAAGACATTCAAGGATGTTCCAACAGTCTGCAGTAACTGAGGAGGAATCCGCCCTGTTGCTCTGGATCCAAGTCACTGCTTCTTCTTTCTTTTGTGGCCCAGTCATAATTTGTTTAGCAGCAATGAAGTAATAAATTCAGTCCAAGAGTGCCTGCTCAAGTTTCAGTAAGTGTTCCACAGAACTTTTACAGGAAAACTGGTTGGTGAACTTTAAGTAGCTGAGTCATCCTTCCACATTCTAGATGGATATATTTCATTCATATTCAGGGCAAAATTAAACCATGCCATTGAATTAATGAACTTGCTTTAAGGAAATGTCTGTTAAAGCCAGAGGTTAGAGAAATAAAGATGAATAACACAAAATAAAAAACCAGCTGATTGGCTTCAGTGAATCCTAAGACTCTTCCAAATGCAGTCAAGGAAGCTCGCTATAACCCAAAAGTTTGACTGTGGTTCTCTTAATCTCTGTTGATGTAGGCTGGTTCCACCATATTTCTCCACAATTATGGAACTTGAGCCTGGTTTGAAAAATAAATATTAATCACAGGCAATCCAACCACCCTTTGCATGCATGAATGTCATCACAGATACAGATCAACTGAAGGCAGGACAAGAAGCAACGGGTGGAAACTAATCAAGGAGAGAAGCAACCTAGAACTAAGGAGAAACTTCCTGACAGTGAGAACAATTAATCAGTGGAACAGCCTGCCTCCAGAAGCAGTAAATGCTCCAACACTGAAAGTTTTTAAGAAGAGACTGGACAGCCACTTGTCCGAAATGGTGTAGGGTTTCCTGTCCGAGCAGGGGGTTGGACTAGATGACCTCCAAGGTCCCTTCCAACTTTACTACTATTATTATTATTACATCACTTATATCAAAAATTTTATACTTTTAGTTGCTGAGTAAGTGATTTACATTTATGCATAATCTGCCAAGTATGACTGGCAGAACTGACTGTGAGAACGAAAAGTGCACCATCTCCAATGAGTTGACTTCATGGTGACTTCTGCAATGCCTCCTTGTAGGTTTTTTTGGGGGGGAAATGGAGGGGCTTTGCTACTGCATTCTTCCAGGATTTCCTAAGGTGTTTTCTTGGTGTTCTCTCAACTAACTCCACTGAAAACCAATGTTTTGTGGATGTTCATGGTACATATAATACGATGATTCAGAATGAAAGCCTGCAGGTCTGAGACAGGTATCTGATTGGTGGAAGATCCTATTAATTATTCCTATTGTACATAAAGTGAGAAATGAAGGCAGTTCAAATCTTAGGGTGGGTAGTAGAAACCTCATATCTAAACCTTCTATCATAAATGAAGTAAGGCAGGGAAAACTTCAACCACAAGATGGAGTTGCAGGAGAGCAATACAATCAAACTTTAAATAATAATAAAATATTTATTTAAAACGATAAATACATTATTGTAAGCAGTGTAAAAAATAACAATGTGAACAACCATTGAAGGAGAGCTTCCATTACCTATAGCATGTGATAAGCATTAAGGAAGTTATAATCCAACATGTCTGGAGGTGAGTCAGTTGGGATGGTTGTCTTAGACAAATAACTTTAAATAGGTTTTTATGCTTGTTTACATTTGTTTTTCACCATCTAGAATTGTATGCCAAGTTAAGACATTTGAATAGCTAAATAAACAAAAATGTATCCAGACTGAGCTGATCTCCATCGAAAGTGAGATTCTTTGCATCCATCTGATGGTAAAATGATAATTTTCAATAATAGGATTTGGCACGTCTTTTTTTAAGCAGCTAAAGGGTAAAATACTTGCATTAACCCCCCCCCAGACTTCACACAAGAACTTACCTCAGGGGAGGAGAAAACATCCCCAATTTCTTCCCCCAAGATTGTCTGCCACTCTCCAACACCATGTTAAAATAAATAAGCAAAATGGCGTTCTCCCCCCCCCCCCCATGAGATGAATCTCTAGTTCTGGGAGTTGAAGTCCACATGCCTTAAAATTGTCAAGGTTGAGAAACACTGCTCTAGAACAACCATGACATATTGGAAGCTGAGGGGAGGTGTACTGGAAGCTGAGTAGCACCTCAAAGCTGAGTTAAGAACTGAGAAGACTGTGACATACAGGCCCTATATTTAATCACTCCATCAGCTTAAAACATCCAATACCAGAGGAAGAAAATTTAGATACTCTTTGAGATCTTCTTCAGACAAGCATGATATAGACAGAACTGCAGTGGTGAGGATATGTTGGAGAGGGGCCATCACTGTGCAATGTGAATCAGCAAAGGCTGGTTCAAGTAGTGTAACAGCTATGAGGATGTAATTTATTAAAGGGTTTGTAGAAAAGAACATTTAATTTTAATGATTTTTAAAGTGCCAAGTGTTTAAGGACTTGTCAGTCATACCGCAGCTTTTGCTCTCCGTTTTAGCTGGAATGCTAAAAGCCAGAAGCCAATTGACGTCTTCCAGGAAAATCAGGGCCAATACCCTATGGGTGTTTTTTTTCCTCCCATTTCTGTAATAAAAAGGACCGAATATTGTTTTTCTTGTAAATGAAAGTAAAGCCTGGAGAAAAATGACAATTGCAACATAGCAAGCTGAACCCACATTAACTAAAGTCAGAAGGGAATGCCAGATATGCTGGAATGCTTACCAAAATTCAGGACCAGCCACTGGTTTCAATGCCAAGATCCAATCTTCAGCCCATTTATGATCTCAGAGGTTAAACTGCCTCTCCTTCCCATCCTGACAGTCCTGTCTCAAAACCCATCCCCAGTGCTTCTCTGCTTTTCCTGGAGCTGGATTGGAGGTGAGAATCCCAGCAGCTTGCGGTTAATTCACCCAGGACAGCCTTCCTGGCTCACCAGCATCTGCCAAGGAGGGGGCCAAGAAACTGTCAGTAAGCAAACATCGCCAATCCAAGGAATTGATTAAGGCAACTTCTCCTGACTCTTTGCTTATGGTTGCGAAAGCAGAAATTGTTTCAGCGTTACTGTTTCCAAAAGATTAATAAAGATGTTCAGGAGGCTGAAGTGCTGGGAGATTTGTTTAATTATTCCCCACAGTCCTGCCCCAGCAATCTGCTGACATTTCGCCCCGACCTTGCAAATCCTCAGCAAATATTAATATATCAACTCAAACAGGGGCTCTTGTTTTATTGGTTCATGGAGCTCAGAAAGATTCGCCACAGCAGTGAAAAAATAATGTGCAGAACTGAGGGGAAACGGCTCCTTTGATATCACCTTCTGCTGCACACATGTGCTCAGAGCATCAACAAAATGGAAATACCGCTTCTTTGCCACAGATGTGGAGTGACACTTCAGATGCCTCGGCTCTCTTTTGTGCAGCCCATTGGAACAGGCCCAAAAACTGTGGTGGCAAGAGTATAGAAAACACAGACACAGAGAGACAGGAAGAAATTGCATTTGATTATCAGACACGGCAGATTTTTTTTTTTAATGGAGAAGTTCTAGACAAGGGCTAGAACAGGGTTAGGCAACCCAAACACTCAAAGAGCCACTTGGACCCATTTCCCACCGAAAACAAAACACTGGGAGCCGCAAAACCCTTTTGATATCTAAAATGAAGATAACACTGCATATATCCTTTTTTACCTTTAATATATATATATCATAAAGGTAAAAAAGGATATATGCAGTATTATCTTCATTTTAAATGTCAAAAGGGTCTCTCTCAGTCTCTCCCTCTCTCCTTCCCTCTCCCTCTTTCTGCCCTTGGTCTGCCAGTCCTCTTTCCCTCCCTCTCTCCCCTCTCTCTCTCTTTCTCCCCCCCCTCTCTCTTTCTCTCTTCCCCTCCCCCTCTCTCCGATCTTCTGCTCACCTGGCAAGCTGGCTTCAAGCTGTTCTCCAACAAGCTCAGAAGTAGGCAACCTCGGCTCTTTTATGACTCATGGACTTCAACTGCCAGAATTCCTGAGTCAGCATGGCTGGGCTAGTAGCTCTCTCCTGCCCTTCCTGCTTCCTGCTTCCTGCAGAGATGCAGCAAAGGGAGGAGCCCCGCCCAAAAAGTTTTTCAGCTTGTCGGGGAAGATCATGAGTCTACTCTCTTTTACACACACACACACATACAGAGAGAGAGAGAGAGAGAGAGAGAGAGAGGGAGAGGGAGAGAGGGAGGGAGGGAGGGAGAAGCAGGGAAGCGTAAATGCCTTTCTCTGTCTCTTTCTGCAAATGGCAGAGGAGACTGGGAGCCACAGGGGAAGGCTCAAAGAGGCGCATGCTGCTCTAGAGCCACAGGTTGCCTACCTGTGGGCTAGAATAATCAGAAGAACTCAGGGCTGGGTTTGCAGACATGTACCTTCATCACCGACATCAAGGGGTGACTTGTAAGTGTGAAGGAGGCATTGCAGATGAATTGCTACGCAGAGTGTTTTCATATCGCCCAATGTCACTATCAATTCATTACAGAGCCATTAACAGATTACACACCTCAGATAGCATCTTCATATCATCTGAAATTGGCTCTCCAAACACCCTGTGCTTCAGCTGAGACTTCATGCATTCAGCTGAAAATTATCCAGTATATTCACTGCACCTTGGTTCAAGAATATAAGTGATGATTCACATGTTGGTGAACCATCATGGATTAAGAACAAAACAAATGCCTTGCTACATCAGACTAAATGTTCATTTACTTCAGCATTGTGAATTCAGAATGGGCATACTGGTGCCTATAAGAAGCCACAGGACATAAGCATCCTATTTGTCCCCAATTATTATTATAAAAAGAAATATTTTTATGCCCAGGAGCTAATTTAGCAGTGATGGCTAATGAGTGATGACAGACCTTTCTTTCATGCATCATAGATGTATGATAATTCCTAATATCTAATTAGGCAAAGTTTCTCTTAATGGTTTGAAGCTGAATGTGAAAGTTTGGAGCCAATGTGGTATAGTGGTTAAGGTGTTAGCACTGAGACAGAAGTTCAAATCCACCATCAATCACTGAAGCTCATGGAGTGACACTCCTTCACCTATTTTCCTCAGAGTTTTGTTATGAGGAAAATAGTATGTTTTATATTCTACTGTATATAAAAGGTAGGATATAAATCTAATAAACAAAAATAGCAACTCTATGCTGTGCTGCTTTCCCCTTCATTTATCTATACAGCTTTGTTTAACAGTGAATTATTGCTTGTTTAAAAGCTTACACTTTTTTTCCTGCACCTAGAATAAGCTTAGGAGCAGGAGTGCTCCATAATATAGTACTTAATGATGAAAATGTGGTGGGAAACAGTATGGAATAATGAGAGTGGGTCAGTGAGTAGAATACCCCAATTACAGCTTCCTTGTTGTCCTAAGTCAGGGGTGTCAAAGTGGGTGGCCCGCAGGCCAGATGCATCACGCGCAGGCCACGCCCACCCTAGTTCTGCAAAGGCAACAAATGTCACGTTATGTCACAATATGTCAGGTGATCCAATCTAGTTTGACACCCATGTCCAAAGTCATCAAAGAGATGATAAACATCTTAGCAATTTAATGGCTAAGAAGTTGAACTAAATACCCAAGTTTAAACCTTCAATCATGGAAACTCACTCATGAAGGGCTTATTATTCTCTTTCAGGCCAACCTACCTCACAGAATTGTAATGTGATAAAATGTTGGAGGTGGGGAAGCTCTTTTTACCATCTTATGGTCTTGGAGAAAATACCTTTTTAAAGAAATAAACTCTTCCCAACGATTAACTTGATCAAATGAAATTTACTTGGATATTTCAGGATGATGTTTCTTCCTTTCCCTCTGACCTGTTTTCCCCCTATCCAGAAATGTCTCTTTCTCCTTCCCTTTCAGCCTTTACCCCTCTTTGGTGGAGCTTCTAATTTTTCTGTCAAGCAATTGTCAAGATCCATGCACAAAAAGGAAAACAAAGCAAAATCTGATGGAGCCGGCAATGTCTTCCTCCACTTTCACTCTTTTCCCTACCCCCAAAAAATGTAAGCCTAACCATTAACCTACATCAAACCATGTTGCTGAGAGTGTCAGAGGGGAAGAATGCCTGCCTGCCTGCCATTCCTGGCATTCACTTCCACTGAGCCAGAGAGTTAATGTGTGATTAATTGGATTCATAAACATGTTAATCACTTCACTGTGTGAACTGGTTAACATGCCCCACAGCCAGCACCTTTATTTAAAATGCTTCTGTTTTTCTGTTTCACATATCACACACACACACACACACAAGCTCAAATGTATTTAATGTTTTAAGCTCGTTTCTGAGAACAAACCTTTAAGCCTGGGCTTTAGCTGTGCTCCTGCTCTGAAGGCTGAGCCTTGGAATTGAGTTTCAGAGCCAGCAGCCTCGTCTTGTAGTCTGCTTAGTGTTTATATTACACCACCAGGAACATGGTGCTTTACAGAGAGAAGTGGGCAGCCACAGCAGGTCCCTGCTTGCAAACAACTTACAATCTAAGCCAGAGGGCCTTGGGAAAATGGCAGCAGGAAAGAGGGAGGGAAGAAAAACATGTGAACCAATACATACTTTACACTGAGAAAGGGAATAAATGCAGAGAAGTGGGTTGTGAGAAAAGGGGGTTTAAAGAGTACGGAAGAGATGCACTACATTCAAGTTTGGGTCAGTAGTTAGATATAGGAAAGGTAGCAAGAAGCATAACTGTAATGATAGATGACAGTGGTTATTTCCCATAATGCTGGGTTGGTATATTGCCCCTCCAGTTAAGACAGCCCACAATAGGGGAGAAACCTCCATTGCTTTTTCAACAAAAGTGGGTAGTTAATGCTGCGCGTTTTCACAAATGCACCTATCTACAGCACAAACATGCTCCAGCAACGTATTTGGGGGTTTTGCCATGTATTCATGTTTTAATCTCATCCCCCAACTGATATCTTAGGCAGTTTGAAGTTGTTCATAGCTATTTTAAATTAAAGTGGTATTTTGCCCCTAAAATGTATGGGACTTTGGCTGTGGGTGAATTCTGATGTGCTTCATCAACCAATGTGTTCAGCATCACAGTCAGGTGACTCTGAAAGTCTGGCACCTATTGGCCACTTCAGGCTAATGTGGGCATACACCCTCTTCTCTCAGCCTCAAACAATCTCTTCCAGGGCTATTCTGTTTTGAACAGTGGAAAAATCCAACTTTTTTTTTTAATTGGATTATCCATGCATACTTGCCAATAACCTGACACAAATCAGCCTGAACAGTAGCTACAGCATTGGGGGTAGGGATGAAGGGGCTGTAAGGTGAAGTGAGAGAGCCAGAACTCTCTCTGCTTATGATATATCCATGAATTTGTCAGCTGTCATTTAGGACAATTTTTGACACGGGTTTAGAACTTTTTGGAATAGCATTAAACCTATGTCCAAAGAAGCCCAATTATCAGTTCTGTCTTGCCCAAGTGTTCTGTAGGGATGAATTGGCTGAAGTCAGTTGGCCATCAGGCTAATTTTGGATATGGCTTTAACACTATTCCAGAAGAGTGTTAAACCCAGGTTCAGAATTAGTTGTGCAGAAACAAACAAACACAACAACACAGCCACTTGCACCAAACTTAAGACAGAACTTTTCAAAGAGTACACAAAATTTGCTGCTCTGTTAGCCTTAGCCCCACTAGTTGGAAAACAAAGCCAGGGAGCCACCAATCAATATGATCATATGTATGCTGGCCTATGAGATCAGTGGAAGCAGCAAAGTTTATGCTGATACAGCTTTCTGGCATCTCAGGGACTGGCAGACACAGCCACACTTTAACTGGGCCATGCCCTGTCAGTGTAATGCTAATTAGCAGTACAAAGCATTGTTGCAATTATAATTGTCTCTGTATTAAAAGCAGAGCTAACACCTTCCAGTAAGTAGAATAAGGCAACCATAGCCTCACACAAAAACACAAAAACACACACACACACACACACACACACACACACTCCTGGTTCTTCTACTGGAGAGCGGTTGTGACTTCTGATATGATGGTGGGTGAGGATGCTCCATTACTGTTAAGATTCAGCTTCCAATCACATGGGCTTCTACAGGTGGGAAAATAAGGCCATCTTTTTTTTTCTCAGTTCAGGAAGTAGAATATCCAGGGTTGGTGATCTCAAACAAGCAAGTTTAATTCCCTGCAGAAGAGCCAATATAAGCAAAATTGGATAGATGATATACAGACTGGCCACCCATCTCTTTACCAACTCTTTGTCATTATTTTTAATGTACCATCTCTGCCCTGAGAAGTTTACAGTCTGCACACCATCTTGCTCAATGAAATGTCCCTTCAATTTCAGGCATACCCCTTATATTCATGATCGATAAGATATACAAGGATTTTATTCCGTATGGGTCTTGCTAATATTTGGGAGTAGAACCAAGAATGGACCAGAGGGGAACTGCATTTTGGCTTGATATTTTATTTGATAAAATCCCATATACAGTATGTCTATGCAAAAGTAAATCATTGGGACTTTTTTTTAACTAATAGGATTATAGAATTTCACCTGAAAAATACTCTTCGTAACAATTAGCTGAATTTGGCACATCTAAAAGTTTCTTAAAAATAGGAACACACAGTTTAGATTTTGTTTCGTTTCAAAAGAAGGAAGAGATAGATGGGTGGGAA